CTTCGCCGCTAGAGACTGTTGCTGCTGAGCTTAGTGGTCCACCGACTGAGGTCGTGTCGACCGGACCGAAGGAGTTGAGGTGCGTCGTTATTTTTGGGGTGGTTTGATTTTGGCACTTACTGGTTCAGATGGAAATATCCCCGGGATGAGGGAGGAACATCTGTGAAGGCATTCCAGGTCCTTGTGAGTTCTTATGATACATCACTGAGTGAGGCGACGGTCAACTGGACTGCTGCACAGAACGATTGGGTCTTCGACCACCAACCGTGGGAGACTACCTTCATGAGGTCACACGAGTTGTGATGAACCCATGACGTGTATGCACTTCAGAAAGGATGTCCTCGAGACTGGCCAAGACTATGTCCTGAGAGTACGAGCAGTGACGGGAACAGGGCCGGGGGAATCATCTCTGGGAGTGGTGGTCAGCGGAGGACAACAGCTACAGATCATACGAATGTGGCCATCTAATGTGTCGCGGTGAGCACTAGATACGATGCACTTTCTAATGGACATTTCCCCTGTAAGGGACGTACTGTCAGGACCCACATTGAGTTGGAGTGGGAGGAGGTTGAGTATAACTTGACCATGGATGTATATGTTGATGATGGGAACGATGGCGCGCTGGGTCTCTGGTGTGACAACGTATCCGATACAAAGTTCAATGTCGGCCCTCTTGCAACAGGGCAAACTTATAAACTACAGGTAAACTGCCGCAAACTCTCCTTTATGATTCACTGTGTGAGAGTTTCGTACTGGTTTTGTTTAGTGATAGACCGTGAAATTTTATCAGAGATTGATGAGTCAATTCCGTCGTCTGAGTCTTCTAGATTTGGAGTTTGGACCTATCATATGTTGATATCTGATCGCTCGCTTATCGATCGATTACTCCGCTGGTGGGAAGCCTCTCCTTCTGCTGCTGCTACTTGTTACTTGTAAGGAGTTGTCAGGTTATGAGCTCCAATACCTGCCTTATCGACCACTGCTATCATGGTGTTACAATACCAACCACTGTGGCTCTTGTCTCGGACGTTCTCAATGTGACACTAAGTGACCATGCTAAAGCCCCTCAAGTTGACTTGCGCGTCGAAGAGAGCGGTACCACTGTCACAGTGAGGACATCAGCTGGCCTTTTCCGAGCGATACCCTGAAGGCAACAAATCTCAGATATTCTGGAAGCCCGACTTGGACAATGGAGGAACTCCTATCACAGCTTGGATCATTGAGCGCGACGACGGCACTGCTGATCTCAACACTTACTCTAATACGGTGTTCTCCCAAATACATCGACTTGAGGCATTCGGATCGCGAATGTCTTTCGTGGACTTGCCCCGAGTAGAAGAGGCTACCGGTTGGTGTCCTTCCTGTCCAGTGCGGTACCGCTACAGAGTGCGGCCCGTGAACATGGCCGGGGAGTCGAGATGGGCCTCGGCTATCCATGATGCTTGGATGGTTCCTACACCGGACCAGCCGTCCGCATCTCTAGTCCATGACGTCATGGTGGTCCCTGTCTTATCTGGCATGGACGACACCCCCCACGTCGAGTTCTATCAGTGACACTTCACTTCTTTCA